ACAAGCTCCCACATCACCCTGTCCCGTCCATCAAAAATGCACCCACGAACAACCCAAAAGCGTACAAACCCAAGCCACGTCGTCTCCACTGAGTTTCCTCTGTTTTGTTTTTTAAAAATTTCTATGTTTGTCCTAACTATATGTGATTGTGTGTTTTTTTTTCCTTGAATTTTGGGACTCTGTTTTTTCTGGGATCTTCTGTTTTTGTTCAGCCAACATATGTCGGCACTGCATTCCGAACAGGATCGCTGGTTTTCCTTCCTATCCAGAAGACCCATCGCGAATCCTACTGAAGAAGAGCTTATCTTTGCTAACTACACGAATGCTTGGGAAGAGTAATGTGGTTTCGAAGTTAACATCATCAACTATAATCATAGGGCGAATGTTGTTGGAAGAAAGTGTAAGAATATTTATCTTCTTATATGACCTATGTGTCTTTCGGTTTTATTTTTAAATATCAAGTTCATATTAAAGATAAGAATTCTAATATTAAAAACGACATCGTGATAGATTGGTTTCGATTAATGGCATTATAATTCGGGTGTATTGGCAATCTCATCCCTTACCATATTATATTATGAGCATGATTATGAGTGGTAAATAAGAGTAAATATAAGAGATTTTTAATATTATAAAATTCTTATATTTACCCAAATTATTTTTGGATTTCTAAATATAGAATCTATACTACCCATATTTAGTGGGTAAATATAACATTTCTCTCTATTTCTTTTCTTTTTCTCTTTCTATTGATCAACCCCAATATAATTAATACTATAAAATTCATATATTATCCCAATCATATTTACTACTTATAATCATGCTCTAAGTTCTTCCTTGTATAGTTTATATATATATGATGGTTTATGACTCAATTACCAAGAAAGGATTATATATATATAATGGTGGTAGTTAATGTTGAAGTTGTGTGGAAACGTTACATGTGTCTCTTTTCTTAAAGTAGAAACAATTCTAAATTAATATAGAAAAGAGATATGGCTTTTGAGTAAGTGTAGCATTGAGACATTTTGTATGTGTCTTTAAATATAAAATTATTAAAAGTTGAGTAAAAGAAAGAAAGAGAATGTTTTTGGTTGAAATAATGGGGTGTATTGAAATATAAAATTAATAAAATTTGAGTAAAAAGATGAGATAGTGGGTATTATTACAGAGAGGATGTCTCGGGGAAGACAAAGTTGGAGAGAGAATGGATGAAAATTGGAGTGTGTTTAAATATAAAATTAATAAAAGTTGAATAAAATGATGAAAGAGAAGGTATAAAGTTGAGTAAAAAGAAGAGAGAGTGTGTTTTTTATATTTTTTTATTTAGAGACATCTACATTTGGTCTCAAATGTGGATGGTTTTTCATTCTATATAAGTACACATTAACTTATTATGTGTACTAAGTGAGACACGATAAGAACAAGAAAAGCCGTACGTTTCCGCAAGTAAGATCATCGATATAGAAGAGAGGAAGGACTTAGATTTCTATTCCATCAAAGGAGATCATTAAGGAAAAGGTCAAGGGAGGAGAAAATCAATTGGTGAATTGATTCCACAACAATCCAAATAAGCAATGGATCAAGGTTAGTATTTCTTCTTCCATAAAAAAGTATTTATGGTTGAGTTAAATTTAAATCTAGATGATTTTGGGATAGATTTCATAATTGAAATAATTAGGAATTATGTTTTCATGTGGTATCAAAGCCAATCTAGATTTGTTTAATTCACCGTAACTGATCGATCGAATGATTAGAAGATCATAATTATGTTACGGCAAATTTAATGTTTTAGTTGTGGCTGAAAATGAAACGTTGCTATTTCGATTCGTAGGATAAAGGACGTAGGATTGCGTTGCATGCATGCGTGAATTCGTAACCACCGTTTCTTTTGACGTATGCATAATTAAGAGCATTCATAAAACGGTGCATTAAGTACACCCACTGAAGAGGAAAAAATACCCTAGGTTTTCTGTGGGCTTTCTCTCTCCTCTCTGCCGACAGATCTGAGGCGATTTCTCTTATGACCACAACCAAATCGTTTCACTTTCCGGTGACCGGCGGCTCCATTAGCGTCAGTCATGGACCTCCTTTGTTTTATTTAGCTTTTTTTATGCTTTGATTTGGTTCTTCGGTTGGTTCTTCGGCTTGGCATCGGTTTACGGAACGAAGATGGTGTAAGCTGTTGGGGGTTTGGGGAGTTTAAGCCGTCGGATTTACTGTTCGGGGTTTTAAATGACTTAGGGGTTCTTCTCTCATAATGTAGAGTGATTTGTGTTGGCTCTCCTTCCTCTTCTTGTTGTGACATTCAATGGTGGAGGCTTCGGTTATCCGGTGTTGGGGTTGGCCTTTGGCATGGATGGGTCGGAGTTTTGTAGGTCATGCTGTAGTCGCTGGTCCCTTCCGGTGGATGTACAGTTGCTGCCTCCGTCCTGGATTTTATTTTCAGCCTGCACAAGCTTTGAGGGCTCTTGTATACTTAGCCTTCGGTGGCCCTTCCATCGCCGGTGACGATCTAGCCATCATAAATTGGATCAATGTTTGGGCCGGGGGTTTTCAGTACCTATGGCGGATGTTGGAGGTCGCTATGAACCGTTATATCCTTTGGTTTCTGGTCGTTGGGTTAAGGTTTCAGATTTCTGTTTTGACCGGACAAACCGTTGGTGGTCTTGGGTATGAACAGATATTGTGGTTTGTTGGTTTGATTTCATTACGTTGGTTAGTTGTTCGTGTCTTCTCGATGGGATTGATTTCGATATATGGTATTAGTCTCTTGGGTTTGTTGTTGATGGTGTTGATCGACTTGCGTTAAGGATTAGTTTATGGGTCGGTTAATCATCACCCGACACATAAACCAATATTGGGTGTGTGAGGTTTGTGTTAAAGGCAGTGGCAGATTAATTCTGGTGTATTGGTTTGAGGTTTTAGTGTGGCGAGTGAAGTTAAGTTTGTGGTTTGGATGTGGTCCGGGCTCGTGGCAGTAGCTTGCGGCGGACTTATAGACTGGTGGTTTTGCTGGTCCTTTACTCGCGAGATCCGCGGAGGCTTGGATTAACTTCCTTTGACACTATTCTTCAATCGTTGGTGCTTTAGAGCTCTCCAATCTTTGGTTACTTTGAGTAGAGTTCTCTTTGACTCTTGTTTAAAATGACTCTATGGCATATGTGATAATGAAGATAGTTACGCGGCAGATCCTTCTAGTTCAAAGCTATGTGGTCTTACACTCCTTTCTGATTATTTATTCATGTTGCGATACTTTTAGACAGCTTTCCCTTAACAATATTGGGTCAAGTATCGTCGAAGAAGCAATCGTAGGAGTGTGCTGGATTTTCTTAATTCTATTTGTTGGTAGTATTCAATGTCATGGTGTTTGAGTACGTTTGCTATGTTTTAAGGTTGGCTTTGGTAGCTATGTATTTCTTTGTTCTCGGGAATTGTTGTCTTCCCGAAGGTTTATGTTTGGCTTGTTAGTGGTGCTTGGTTTGACACCTTGTAATCCCGTTGTGTTTAATAAAATTTTTCATATGTCAAAATAAAAAAACGGTGCATTTTAAAAGTAATGATAGAATAATTATAAATGCCGTAGGATTGTAAAGAATATTGTGGCATGATAAAGAATTATATTCTTGCATGGATTCATGATTAGGTGCATTCGTAATCATTGTTGTATGCATGAATTGTTAATTGCCGGTTTATTTAAGTGTCTCGCAGTGGTTTATGGCACTCTTGAGCGTATGGTATTTTATTAGTTTAAATGAATGATATTCATAAAATGCGCTTCCGCTTGCATTGGATTAAAAAAAAAAGTTTATTGTGTTATGAAATATTAATACTACATAATGATAATTTTACCCAATTTTTTATATTTATACTGTATATAACATGTTAGTCACCAAAGTGGTCTTGTTATATATTATATATAAACATTGAAAACTAAAAGATTTTATTAATTGATCAAGATTAAAGAGATGCTTATAAATGACACAAAAAGTTTTTATTGATCAATTAAGTTGTTATCTATATCTTTGGAGATCACCCAAATGCGTGGATTTTGATATAGTTAATAATACGAAAAGGATTAATTTTTTTTTTACTATGATTAATAGTATGTATACCAAAGGGAACATGCTTATTGATTTGGTATGTTATGATTAATTGTAAAAGTTTAAAAATTTAGCATAAATGATAGTGCTTGTATTTAAGTATTACTTAAATGCATGCTTAAAAGATTAAAAAGCCTTCAATGAATCTGTATTAAAGTTTCAAAGCACTAATGGGTAAGCATCTATAAATGTTTTGCAGTTTCATCAAATTTGTTTGCATCTGCTAATTCTGTCGTAAAGTTCAATGAGCTGAATTATGGAGAATGGTCCGAACAGATTCGGTTTACAATGGATGCAATGGCATTGGACCATGCAATCCGAACGGATGAGGAACCTTCAGCCATTACTGAAAAGAGCTCTGAAAGTGACAAGTCTAAGTATGAGGCTTGGGAGTGATCTAACAGGTTGAGTTTGAACCTCATGAGGATGACGATGGCGGAAAGTGTTAAGCCATCTATGCCTAAGACAGAGAAAGCAAGGGATTTCATACAGAAAATTAAGGAGTGTGCACAATTGGATTTGGCTGACAAGTCAATTGTGGGAAGTCTCATGAGTGAACTTACTACGAAAAATTTTGACTGGTCTCAGCCAATCCATGATCATGTGACACACATGTCTAATTTGGGAGCAAAGTTAACGATCTTGGGAATGGAGATTTATGAGCAATTCTTGGTCCAGTTCATCATGAACTCCCTGCCTGTTGAATTTAGTCAGTTCCAGATGAATTACAACACCATTAAAGAGAAATAGAATTTTAAGGAATTAAAGGCTATGCTCATTTAGGAGGAAGGGAGATTAAAGAAGATGAAATAACAAGTTGCTAATCTCGTAGGCGTTGGAAGTAGCAGCAGCATGAAAGGAAAACCAAGAAAATGGGACAAAAAGAAGGATAAGACTTTTGTGAAAGGCCCTGAAACTCAAATCCAGAAAGAAAAGAAGTGTTTCTTTTGCAACAAAATGGGACACTTTAAGAGATTGTCCTAAAAGGAAGGCATGGTTCGAAAAGAAAGGTAAACATTACAGTTTTGTTTGCTCTGAATTGAATCTTATTGAAGTGCCTAATAATACTTGGTGGTTAGATTCTGGTGCTAGTACTAATGTGTCTCATATTAAGCAGGGATTCAGTACGATCCAGCCTATAAGAGGACCTGGACAATACTTGTTCATGGGAAACAGAATGAAGACACAAATTGAAGGCATTTGGACTTATAGATTGATCTTGGACACTGGATGTCATATAGATCTAGAAGGATGTCTCTATGTACCTGAATGTGCTAGAAATATTGTTTCAGTAAGTAGGTTGGATAATTTAGGGTCTGATTTTAAGATTGGACATGGTGTTTTCTCATTGTATCGAAACGATTACTTTTATGGTAGTGGTACTTTATTTGATTCACTTTATAAGTTCAATCTTGATGNAAANTTTTCTGAATCCTTATTTAATATTGAAAGTCNAGGNATTAAACGTAGCGCATCAGATGAAAGTTCTGCTTTCTTGTGGCATCAAAGATTAGGTCCAATTCCAAAGAAAGGATGATGAGGTTGGTAAAGAATGAAATACTCCCTCCATTGGATTTTAGTGTCCTAAATGCGTGTATAGACTGCATTAAAGGAAAGCAGACTAAACATGTTGTAAAGAAACCAGCCACAAGAAGCACTCAGC